GTACCTGTTGCGCATCAGTGCATGCCATAACTTGGAAAATCTTCTCAATCACTTTCAGCCAATTCTGCGCACCATCAAGATCATGAGTGCCCACAAAATTCGGTGGATTGTTCCTCTGGAACTTTCCCAAAGCACGAAACTCATCTGGAGGTCCACCATTCTGAGTCATCACTTGGGCAAGTGATTCCAACGCATCAACAATAGCACGATCGTTCCTTCCAGCCATTTGCAACCACCAACCGGGTTAGAAGAAAACAACCCATCCAATAATGTTCTTACACTATGGACTCACAGGGAACTAACAGCATAAAAACTTGGTCGGACGGACCGACCTGCTCTAGTACCACTAATGTAACACCCTTTTCTACCCCACAAATAATAAGGCAAAATAACACAGATATCAGAGTAATTATTAAATTTCACCAAAAGGGCGTACATTTCCCAATGTCATCAAAACAGGTCACGGCTCCGTAAACAACGGAATTTTCCCAAAATACATCAAACAGCATAAAACAACGGAATTCAAAAGGCATAAGTAAAGGTTTTCCTCATCAGGGAACATAAGCAAAATAACTCAATAGTATATAGTTTAAACTCAAAGAACCCAACCTGAATGTTACATATCAGAGCAAGACCCTCTAAGTTAACCAAAAAGGCTAACGACTCAAAACTTCAAAAAATAACTCCTCGACGGCGTCCACAGCTAAACTCGGTCATCTACACGTTACCCACGTGGAGGTAACATTCAAATAGGCAGAGTGAGTAAAACAATTCATAAAAATCAATGTATGAAAATCAACATATAAATGGCATCATAATCATATTCAACCTTCATATTCATCAATAGGCCTCGAAGGCCACAACATCATAATTTATACAAAAAGACTCATAAGTGCATATGCGACACAACTCAATGCATGTGGTACCAATCATCACAGCTTGATGGACACTGGGCAATCAACCCTCCATAGATCCCCATCAATAGGATTGATTCTACTAGAGAACCGAAGCACATCAAAACACTTCACATCCATACAATGGGATTGAAGCCAAAGTAATCGAGGTCCTGAACCGAAGTCCAGATGCACATGAATGCATGATGCACACGTCACAAGTCATCCTCATAATAACAGCATAGATGCATCATTATTCATCATATTCATCATCATCACAATCATCATCATATCTCATGTCATCATATAATTCATCAAAGTCATGGTAATATCATCATAATACATCATATAAACCATCACGTAATCATATACACATCACATGTTAATCACCTAAAAAATCATAGTTACCCCCAAAGTAACTCATCACAGAAATCACAGAATCAAACATCAAAGCATCGTTGCACACGATTAACATACGCGAAACTCTGCTACGTTTGCTGGCATGTTCGTTAGGCGAGTCTAGGGCGAGTTTCTTCGCTAGGCGAGTCTGGGAACAACATGGTCCGCTAGGCAAGACTTTCTTCGCTAGGCGAACAATGCGATGACAGCAAAATCTGCTACGCACCAGAACTTAAATCCATTAAAATGCCCATACGATTCACTTACCCAATGCCCGCAAAATATCCCTAAATCATCCCTAAGATCCTACGACGATAAAGGCACAAAACCTACGATTTATTAGGCCAATCTTGGATCATATTCGCACCCTAAATCACAAACTTCCCTACAATTGCCCCAAAGGCATCAGAGTTACTCACAATCAAATATTCTTATTCCTTCAGGGTCAGACAGGTTCAAATCATAGTTTTGACCACGAAGGCCTAAGGTTTCCCTTTTTCCCCAATTGGACCACGACTATATTTACCTATAATCGGTTTAGGCCACGAAGGGCAAATATCATAATTTCTCATCTCTACCCTCAAAACCCTTAACCCTTAAATCAACCTTACTACATCGAAATCTACACATAGAAAATTATGAAAGTAAATACTTCCCCATACCTTAGATAATAATAATACTAATAAATTAATATTATATACTAGTAATCAAATAAATAACCCAAAAATGCACACTTTTTCAATAATCCACAAACTACCGCAAATCACCAAAAAATGAATATTCTTATTTAAACAACTAAATAAAATATTCCAATTAAATTTGGGGTGTTACATACGGGGTGCTCCTCATATGATGGCGATGATATATGGGCACTTGCCTTTGATGGCGTCCTTGTTCTCAGCGCTAGTCCAACCATCTGCAGTCTTCAAGGGATATTTTTCCTTTGGAGACATTTCTCGATCTCTTTTGACCCTTTTCACATAATCAGTCAGTCGAACTCTCTTGATTAGTGTTTTAATGGCATCCATCAGTTGGATGTATTTGTCGGTGTTATGTACATGACCTTTGTAAATGCGCGGTAGTATTTTAACTTGTCAGTCTGAGATGTGTCTCTGATAAGGTAAGGGAATCAAATTCATCCTTCCTGAATTTTGTGTTGGCACGCTCTTGGTAAATATTTTCTCGAAAGATGTTCAGAGGTGTGTACTTCTCGTACCAGTCTTGCGTACCTTGATCAAAGTCATCTCTTCATCGATGGGACCTATTCCCTATCGGGTCGTAGGAATTAGTGTTAGTGGAGGGAGGGTTATCAAAGCACGTATTCAAATTCTCCTTCAAGATCATGTAGGACTTATCCATCATCTTCTGAGTGTTCCTCACCTTTTTCCTCCCAATCTTCATTCAGAAGGGTTGATCACACATAAGGCTTTTATCAAAGATCAAGCACTTCAGGCCTTCTTTTGTTGCCTCCGCCTAAATAGCAACTTGCGCAAAATAGTAAACATGAGACCGTGGGCTATCTTTCTTCTCGTGAACGATCCCGTTCATGGTAGCTAAGGTCACCGTCTGTCTCTTTCGGGCAATAAATTATGTGTAGAACCGTTCACAGAAATCAATCCATTATTCAATGCTCTCATCCTTCAGACCATTGAACCACAACCTGGTCAGGTCGACCAGGCTTAATGAAAACAACTTGCATTTGGATGCTTCGTCAGCGCTAAAATAGTTCAATCGGTCATTTACGAGTTGTACATGCTCGCCTGGATCTCCTATTTCGTCATACTCGCCTAACTTGGATGGCTTCTCCATGGATTTTGGTATTTTACTTTCCAAAATCCTGGTGCATATCGGATACTTCTGTTGAACCTTCAATGGTTGGTTTTATGCCTGGTCCAGGGGAGAAGCATGACTACCTTGGTCTCCCTCGGAACTTTGGGGAGAACTTTGATGCTTCTTACTCCTTTGATGATTCTTAGACTTAGGAGCTTCATCTTTCTTTGTCACAGTCGGCTCTGGACCGACAAGGTGAGCTCTACTGAATATGACATCTTTTTATGGTGTTGCCTCACTGAGGTGTGTTATGGAGGCTCTCTTCAAGGCGAATCAACTCGTCTTCTATGGTGTGTGAGTTTTGCTGCTAAACGATGTTATACATGTTGTTCAATAGCTCGATAGCACCTTGCACTACAAGGTTAGCTTGTAATAAATAGAAGTCATGTAAGGCTTTAGGTTGTGAGACTGGAGGTGGAATTGGAGGAGTAGTCGGTGGAGCTTGAATAGATCCAGTTATCTGAGTAATCTGGATCAGGTCTGGATGTAACAGAACTTCTTCTACAAGATTTACAACATTTTAATAAGAAGGTGAAGGTGATTGATTAACAGTTAGATGAGTGGCCATCGCGTCAGCGACACCAGCTTCCTGCGCAGCAGCGAAGTGAGTTTGAGAATCATCATATTTCGTGAGTGAGTTTGAGAATACGTGTGTCGCATTGTAGTCAGTCAAGATCGTTATGTTCGTCCCAGTATAATACGTGTGTCACATTGTCTTGGATTGTGAACGAGTTTGAGAATCATCACATTAATTTTTGAACAATAATACAAAATAAATTAAACATTCAATTTTAACCCAAAATCTTAAAATATCTTATTCATCGATCATTTTACTTATAAAATGTAACATTACTTCATCGGTGAGATAGGACTCCACTATTTTAAAAGTACATAATGTAGAAATCATGTATTAAGGGGTAGTTTGAAGATAAAGTCATGTATTGACTTGTAGGCTTAGGATTCTTGTAACTTGCAAGAATTTTTGTCATGCATACTTAAAATGCTAAAGCATGTTGTTTTGTTGAGTAGATTGACAAGAAAAGTATACCATATAATAAAAATCAAACTAAACGATTCTATCCCATAAAGATTCAATCAATAACAAATTTAAAATATATGTAAAATTGACATTTCAAACATTCAAATGAAAGACAGAGCAAAAGAATAACTTCAATATTTTTTTACTGTTTGAGAGAGAAAAAAAAACTATACGTTTGTCGAGAGAGCAACACTACTATCGGTGACTCTTTAAAAAATATATACAAAAATCTCAAATAAATTCCAATTGTTTAAGATGAACTTCTAATATGATATACTTTTTTCTTTCTAACGATTTCTAGTAATCTCACTCTTCAGTATTTTCTCCCTTTCTGTTTTAAATAAACTCAGAAATAACATCATGATTCAAATCACGTCTAAAAGATTGATTCAAATCAGCCTATGCAATAATAATAATAATAAACCTAAACTTTTACCACATTCTACTAATTATCCAAACTAGAATGTCTAAAAACTCAAAATGGCGTATAAAAGTATATGAAAGGACTACAAGCATTGTTTTTAGGGACCATAATAAGTCTTATGACATTTCTTATTTTGTCATCCTCTTTATGTTATCAATAGTGTAAGTCTAGTGAAGCTGCTCGAATAAAGGGTCCATGTTATTTGATGGACCTAACAAAAGATACATTCATTACATATTTACTCGAAAAAGGTATCTTCATCTTTGCATTATATTAACATAACTACAAATACATTCATTATATATTTATCCGAACTAGCATCTAGCTACTGCCACTCTGTAACACTCGAGCGAACTCCTCCCTCGCGATCAGATCAGCGCCTGCTCATACTACAATATACCAGCTACAATTGCAGTTATAATGTATCATCAAGAATGGTGGACATTAGAAGCCCTTGCACAAAATTAAACCTTCGAGTCTTCTCTAATCGGTCCTCATCTGACATCTGTACTTGTTCTGGTTTTCTGTAACCATACACTATTGTCAGTTCAAGTCATATGAAAACAAGGCATTATTCTAAATGAGAGTGTTTTATCATTTACTTATTTGATACAAAAAATTGAACTACATATATACATACATTCAATATTATACTTTTATACAGAAGAGTTTAGCATCTATAAGTTCTATCATGTATTCGGTAGGATTTAAAACATAATATTATGATATAACCAGATAGTATGAAGTTATTATACCCTATAAAAAAGTACAGCTTAGCATCAATTTCTAAAACAAAGGAAATCTTAATACAACAATATATCCACATTCTTACCTTTCCACAACATTATCTTTTGAGCTATCTTTTACAGGGGAAGCTTCAATGGAAGAACTAGACTGTTCGCTCACAGCTTCATCACCTAATACTGGGTTAAAAATAAACGATGACAACAGAGTATCCGATTCGGAATTGGATGAAGAACCTCCCAGAAGAGAATGCAATGCTCCGTCCCTTAACTCTTTTCTAAATAATGTTGAGTTGGAAACCCCTTTCCTCAACACCCTCCTTTTCCGCGGCACGTAAACTTTAGGTTATGGAAAACTTTTAAGTCTCAAAGAAATCCAATTAAAGATTTACACTCACCAAACACAGCGACTAGTTAATTTTAAATACTTAAACTCAATTGATAGAGCAGAAGACAGCACAACAAAATACCATCTAACAATGCTGACAAAACATATATCAAGAAATTTGCACTCACAAAACATATAACAATGGTGCAGCAATCAAATTGATAAAGAATCAAAACAAAAGAAAAAATAAAAACAATAACAAAGAAACAAATTTTCAAAAAGGATATCTTGAAAAACTTCGAATGTTGCGTGGTAATATGTCCAACAAGATCCATTCCCACCTTCTGCCCACAAGCAGGACAAACCTGAAGAAAGTATAACCAATGCCATCAATAATCACCATCATCACCATACAAAACCAAAAACAAAGAAACAACTATCACAGTCAAGACTAATGAAAACACGCCTCAAGAAATCCATAAAGCATCCAATGCAAAATTGTCAGTCTGAGCACCAAACATCATTCATTTCGAGCACCAAACAAGAAATGGCAGAACATAAAAGAAGAAAAATATAAGTTATCTTTTCAGCACAAAACTAGAACCCAGAGAAGAAGAACCCCTGTATTTATTTATAAAGACTAAACCTTCTTTAGCGAAGTAAAACCCAACTAACTAACTTAACTGCCATTTAACTAACTAACCAACTTTTCAACTCCAATAACAATAAAAACATCATTCAACAGTCAACACTCAACACAAACTCAAAACAACGTTGTAACAAAATATACGCCTCTTCAAATTACTAGATACACATTTATTACAATTTTTCTACCTACCCAGACCAAAATTAAACACATCTAAATAAATTAAAAAAAAAAAAGCATTTTAGGAACATTCATAGACTCATTAAATGCACTAAATATTTTTCATAATAAATATGAAAAGTTAAAAATTCATATTTTTTTTAGATACTATACTATACCCCAGTGTTGGCTTGGAGCGGATGTTCCTCGTCAATGTGGCAACAGAGAGAAACGACGTCGTAATCTTCAGCGCAGAAAGGGCATAGATATTCCGCTCTTAAGTCATCGCCGCCGGGTTCAGCGTCGTCGTTTCCACCGAGAAACAGATCTGAAAAACACCAAAACGGAACATCAAAAAGAAAATCCCTACAATAATCGAGTAAATAAAAATGAAAATTGGAAATGATTGCCGTGCTAACCGGATCGAGAATAGTAGCGGCGTGAAGAGTTGGAGAGACGGGAAGAGATCCATGAATCAGAGTCCATCTTTTTGGGGAAAATTGAAATCGAAGAGTGAACCCTAAATCGAAAAAGGGGATAGGGAGTGTTGTAGATAGATAACAGTGTTGTGTTTGTGTCTGTGTTTTTTTTATGAAGAGAGTGATGTGAAATGCACGGAGAAAGAAATGGCCATGTGGAGGGTATTTTTATAATACCCAAAATACCCTTCACAGTTAACTAACTTTTCCGGCCGTTCATTTTCGAAGGACGCGATTATTTTAATATTCGTGTAGCTTTAGTGTGCATTTGAAAGTATGGAGCTCTCATAGCTCAGTTGGTTAGAGCACCCGTTTAGTAAGCGGGAGGTCTTGAGTTCAACTCTCAATGAGAGCTAATTTTAGCAATGCATTTTGGTTGGGCGTAAGGTATATAACCCAGGCCTTAGTTAAAAGAAACAACGGGGCCTTAAGTTCAGCCCAGAATATTTTTACTTTATTACATTTTATTTTTAGAATTAAGTTAAATTTTTATTGATTATTTGGGAATAATATTTTCAAAATGTTAGTCACGTATAAACATTTTCAAAATGATGTCAATTGTGATGTTCTTATTCTAATTTTAAATATAAATCTATTTTTGATTAACAATTTTCACATATCGTTTTAGTTTTAGTCCAAATATTTATATCATAGGTTCAATGTAAGAAAACACGTTAAAAACTTGTAAATAGAAAGTATGTATTGAATAATTTTGAAATTAATGATACTTCACTTTAAAATTTGTGTATTTAGCGCAAATATTGAATTTGGAGAGACATTGGTATAAATCTAAACTTGTAAATAGAAAGTATGTATTGAATAATTTTGAAATTAATGATATTTCACTTTAAAATTTGTGTATTTAGCACAAATATTGAATTTGGAGAGACATTGGTGTAAATCTTCTAATTTGCACTCCTTGTACACACACCCATGATTAAATGAGTGTGTGTTTTAATGTAGTGATTTTTTTTGTCACCTTAAAGATTAAAAAAAAATTATTTTAATAAAAATGTCTTAGATTCTAAAATCTATAACGTGTTTTTGAATGATTCTGATTTTAAAATATTTAATTGTTGAATTTATGAATAAACACAATACATAAACACTTTATTAAACAAAATAAAATTCAACAATATATTACATGTCAAACACTAACAATAAATTATGAATAATTAAAAATAACAATTAAATATAGTTAATTATTCATCGGGCTTAACTATGAATATCGCAATTTTAGTAAACATCCTAAGATGGATCAAGTTTGAAGAAATAGCCCAAACAAATTTGACATATGTGACATCTAACCCGATTGATCGGTCCCTTTAAAGTTCATAGACCAAATATCGAGAACACAATTCTCATGTGACCTTCATTTTAGAGTTATGTGTTGGTGAATTGAACGCGTCCATTATCCTCAATTGACAAATGATGATGTTGAACATTGATCACCATTCTTGTGTCGCGACGGTGTAGATAATGTTTCATTTGGTCCATATGGTCATTCATATCATACACGGTAACATCCACATTGATCTTGAACAAAAGGAGATGGGTACCCTTGTAGTAAAATTTACTTATGTTAAAGTTTATTTTGACTCGGTATGAATAAAAAGAGCTTATTATGTTATGATGTGAACTATAAATATAATAAATATATCATTTTATCCATATTCTTATGTATTTTAGTCAATGTAATAACGGTGCAATCGAGACCATGCAGAATAAGTGAATGTAATGACATGTTTTAGATTGAAGAATCTTAAACATGCACACAAAAAACTTCAACAAGGGTTTAGGTTATAAAATTTGAATCCAAATGGCATTTGTCATAATGCTTTTGGATTTTATAATCTAAAAATTATGGTTCTATGTGTTGTGTACATATTATCACCAAAACTTTTTGACGGTGACAACTGCCAAATGGATGTTGTCGTACCTCAAAAAATACGATTTTCGCTATGTGCAAAATAAGAGTTTTCACGATCACTGATGGGATTATGAGAGTCGCCACCGAACTTTATTTATTCCCACGAGAGGAAAGGAAAAATATCGAGAAAACCCACGGAGAAAAAGATAGGATATGGTCATCGCAACCATGTTGGGTTCAGAAGTCGGTTATGTAAGGAGAAGGTACTAGCACTCCCTACATCCATCGTACTCGATGGGAACCATCTAAGTTGTCTAAATATGAAAGGTATCTGATATCTTAAAGCTTGCTAAGGGAAAGTGGATGAGTACTTGAGAAAAAAAGAAAGATTTTTTATTATTTAGTTCGTCTGAATTTGCAATCCAGTGCCTACGTATCTCAGAGAGAATCAGAACTCTGTAGTTCTTGTTGATAAGGATTTGGATTTGTTGTGTGTATTTTAATGACAATGTTAGGTAGCATGCCTTTTTTGAAAAAAATTTAAGGATAAAAGCCCGAAGGCAAAAAGATTTGGATTGGTAGGGTGTTTTATTAAGATTTGGAAAAGCTTAAAAATATATTTGTATTTTTTGTATTTTTGAGAAAATATTTTTTAGTTTTCAGTGGAAAGGAAAATAACCTAATATCATAGACCTAAGATCGTGATTAAGGCAAAGACTACGCTAATATCATCATGCAAAAAAGTTCATCCTAATGTCTAATTCGACATTAAGTGATCAAGGTGGGATCTAATCACTTAATGGAATATCCTAAGGGAATATGTGAATCAAAAGCGTCAAAAGCACGCATCGGAATAGCTATAAAGATTTCACGAGAACTTGCAAGAATAAAAGGCATAGTTAGCCTCTAAATTAATTAATCAGTTGACAAGGATTTTTATTAATTAATCGAAAATTTTATTAATTAGAGTTTCAAGCAATCAATTAAAACTCTAATTAATTAAATTTTCAATATTAGAAATTTAAAACAAAGTTTAACATCTAATCAATACTAACCAAATTATTTAAAATCAATATTACACTAATCACTTATTGAAAAATAAATAAGAAACTAAATTGAAACAATAAGACATAAATTAAATAATGGGGTGCAACAAAAAAGTAAAACAATATGAGCCTTTGCCCCAAGGCCAGATGATATATATGAAAGAAAAGAGAAAAAAAGGTTATTGGGTTTAGCTCTAGAGTCCACTCGTGTGCATCCTTATATGAAAGGGGAAGAACTACAACAACATCAACAGGTCAAGTTTCACTCTCTCTCTCTCTCTCTCTCTCTCTCTCTCTCTCTCTCTCTCTCTCTCTCTCTCTCTCTCTCTCTCTCTCTCTCTCTCTCTCTCTCTCTCTCTCTCTCTCTCTCTCTCTCTCTCTCTCTCTCTCTCTCGCACAAGCATCGTCGGCGACAACATGAGATCCACCGTGCCATGACCTTTTGGCCGGTGACAGTGGGAATGATGTGAAGCGTTTGTAAACCAAATTATCAATGCAACATTAGTTTGGTTTGCAACAGGATTCAAAGGTATCACAAAAAAATCAGAGGAATTGAATAATTACTCGCCTTAAATTTAAACTCAGGTATTGATTCAATCCTTGTTAGTGTTGTAAGTTCTCTCTATTGTCGATTTCGAACTCGTCTTTTCACCTCTGCATGTTGTTGTTTTCTCCTTGTGTAGCAATCGCTGGTGTTTGTGTGTGAGATTTTTTGTGTGAATTTCTCTTTTCTGATATGTGTGTCTTATGATGATTTTCCTTCTGCAAATGCCTGTGACTTTTCCTTCTGTAAATGCCTGTTTTTTATTGCTGTTAATATCTGTAGCTTGTATGTAATGCCTTCCTTCTACCCCTCTTAATCGTGTGAATCTCCCTCTGTACATTGTAGTTGTGATCCCTTTTTATAGACTCATGTACATTAATTTGTGAGATATGTTGTCGACTCTTGTTTTGAAAATTTTCCGTTTCCGATTCGAACCTGTCTGATTGTGTCTGCTGTAATTTGAAACTTGCCTTATGTGACTGATAAGTTTCCTTTTCTAATTGGATATGTTCATGTATGTTTTGGAAAGAAATGAGCTTGTCTTGATCATGTCTTGGATTATGATATTGACAATTTCAATTTGAAATGTTTGGTTTTTCTTAATGTCGTCTTTATTTTCCTTTGCAGTGTTTCTTCAACCTTTATCAAATCCTCTATTTTCAAAATTCTGGTGTGAAGTACCTTTGTCTGCTGCGTGTCGTAACCCGAAATTTGACCTCCCCTTTTGCCTTTGCATGAACATGTGCATTCGCAACGCTGGCATACGAATTCGTATGTTCTCTCTATAATCTTTGTTGCAGGAACTTCCAGGTTCTTCGAGCCCGATTAATCACATCCTCTCAAAGATATCACATCATCAAAACAACCATAAAATGAAGGTTTCTACACCTATTCATTAGAGCAAGAAGTCGAAAATCAGAGCCTTGACCACAACATCATTTTCAGGAAAAATTAGGCAAATTTTAGCTTGGTTAATCAATTAAGCATTTGCTAGTGCAAATGGGTTAATCGATTAACCCTTGCAAAATTTGCAGAATCTGCTGCATTTTCAGGATAACTTCCACTTCTCATTTTTAGGGTCTACATTGTTCTAGCATTGTGTGGAACATTCTAGACAGCTCTAGACACTTCAAGAAATTTCTAAACACTTCAAGGCATTTGCTCCAATACATTAATTGGGATTGAGACCACCACGTTGCTTCATTTCCAAGCATGTGAGCCATTAGATTCAAGTTTGCATTGGGATGGTTACTGAGTCAACTACCTAACTAACTGAGTTAACCTCCAACTCAGTGAGTTGAGGCTAACTAACTCCAAGGCTAGTTCCAATGCTACATCCAAAGCTCACTCCGAAGCAAAACTCTATATAAGCAAATCATCACCATTTCACAAAGGATCCAATCATTCTCCAAAATTTTCACACTTGATCACACTCAATTCTCTCACATTCTCTCTAGATTTTCTGCAACTTCTACTCATAATCTTCTTCACTTTCATCCCAAACCACACTAGAGCTCAAAACCTTCATTAAAGAGTAGCAACTTCTT